ACTTTTACTCAGTCCCCTGTCCAAATATAGGCTGATTGTTTTAGAAATGTCAGACACTGCCATACTGAAACTACAGTTACATCAGACTTATCTGATGATTATCAATGAGCAAATGACTCGGCTGCATATTCTTACAACTCATATGCAACAGATCCATTTCATGTAGCGCTTCTAAATCTGACCTGAGGGGCTAAAGTGATTGTTATTTTAGATTGGATTACCTCCAAAGACCTATTTATATCTTCTTCACGTCACAGAGACTTCTACAAAGGGTCAGGATTAAATTAGATTATACATACATTTCGCATGCACTTTCCTCTCCTTTGATTACATATCTTGTCAGAGAACAGTGTACAAACAGTGTCATTTCAGAGCACGTGTTCCCATTTTGCTTTGTTTTTTGTCAGTGTCAGAAGATCTGGATTTGAATTTGGTCAATTTATAAGACTGTTAAAAACAGAAATTTAGGACTTAAGATTTCTCCTCATTTATTGTCATGTTGAAGGATCTTGAGACACAACTCTAGGAATTAAAGGTATGAATGGCAAGTGTTTGCATCTTGATCCAACCAGATCTTTAGCATGAATGAAGCACAGCCAGTTTACAAGAAAGATAACAGATGAAAGGGGTGAATCTGGCCAGCTTGGTTATTAATAACGTAATGATATAAATACAGTAACGCATCAAGACTCTGCTTACATGCTCCCTGTGGCTTAGCGATTACTCTAAGATTAAAGAGTTATTTATTTACTGTGTATACTTTATGTATTATAATAATATGTTTTCATATACAATACAAAAAACCTTTATTCACAATCTGAACATAACATGTCAGTTTCCTTTCATGCACTGTGGATTCATCTCTCTGTTGACTTTAAAGTAGGAGTTGATTTGGTCAGTTACACAATGAATCATCCTAGCCTTGGTTCAACTTAAAGACAAGACTTGTGAATTCTTTCCTTCCTGTGCTCATTCAGTGACATTGCTATTTGTCACAGAAAATAGCCAAAAAAATAAGTAAAGCTACTCTGACCTACAGCTTTCAATGTTACTTTATTTGTAAGGCTCTGTATTACTTTACTCGTGAACTGGATGACATTTTCTACTTCTATACCTCTATACCTCTACCTTATTGACCTAACCATTATTATTTTCATGTAAAGCAAATTATACAGAAATTTGTCTGCAAATTTTATCAGCATTGAAAGTACCAACCTTGCAATGTACAGTAATAAGAGAATATGTAGATGAGAAGATCTCAAATATACTGTACACATACAGTGTAAGTATTGCGTCACATCAGTACTTAAAGCATTGTTTCAGCTTTGTGACAGTTTTCTGAATACATTTTGACAGGTGATATGTAGTTTTCTACACTACTCCAGAGTGTGAGTTTCCAAGCATTAGAGCTACAGTATCTATGTTCCAGTCTGCTTCTCTATGACCAAATTCTGTAACATAAAAGATTGGAAAAGTCATTATTTATCATATCAGTTGGAAATCACATATGTCTCTTGTTTTATCCTACATTACATTGCTGAAGACAATATCTCCTTCTTGCCAGGCCAGTGTTAGGGTTTTATATTTTTTTCCTGATTTCCTTATTTAAAGTTTGCTGATCTGCCAAATTTTAATACGTGCTTTTCCAAAGTTCGTAAGCAATCAATGCAATTTTAAGCATTGCAGTTGCTGGTGGTTTTAGTGAACATCAACTTAATGTTGAAGAAATCAAATTTGCACAAATTCTGTAATTTGTCATATTTTCTAAAAAGTAAATACCAACACTAAGTACTATTTCAACCATGGAAAGTTATTTACTAGTTATTTGCTAGTTTTGTTTGGAAAACATTTTAATTGTAGTTGTTATACAGCTTCTGCAATCAAATAAAAAAATATAATATATTATAGTTAGAGTTAAGAGGAACATATACAGTACAGCTAGTAAAAGCATACTGACTTAGAAACAGCCTCTTACGGTGCTCCGTAGTTGCTACCATGACTTTTGTGTTTTAAAAGATCAGCAAACTCCAAATAAGGAGTGCAACTGATACTGTGCATTTGAGTTAAAATATTAATGCCCAAAGAATTGTTGAGTTGCTCATCAGTGGCAGTGATATGCGTGACTAGCTGTTGTAGAAAATAGTGAGGCAAAGTGTTTCATAATTAAACACATAATCCATTTATGCATAAATGGACACCTACTATTGAATAGCAAACTACAGAGGTATTTGAATCGCTGGGTTAGAGAACAATTTATCATTCATTAGAAATGTTTTTCCAGTCTTCCCTTTGTGCAGCATGACATACCAAATTACAATTTTAAGACCCTCCCCATTGATTAATTTAAACATAGTCATGTCCAATTTACATTTTCAACTCAGACTTTCACGTTCTCCAGCTGTTCCATGACAGTTTAATGCAACTGAACAGTTAACAGTTGAATATATGAATTATCTCCTGATCATATTTGTGAAAGTTCTGGGGTTAACTTACAGAAATCATTTTACTGATATTGTAGTTGAAATGGAGTTTGCACTCCTTAACAATAGCTCAGGTGGGAAGCTGCGTCAGAATGCGTAATCTGCAAAGGAACAAGTAATAGGTTTATTCCATGCTGAAGAGAGAAGAGAGAAAACAACGTTTCGGCTATGATCTGAAACATTGCGTTTTCTCTCTTCTCCTTTACAATACTACTTCTTTTCAAATGCTGAGTACATTTGAATAATCATAGCTATGCTGGTGCAATTCAACATTTTAACTTCACATTATACATTCACATCCATCTTTAAGGTTCATGTTTTTTTATTTTTACGTATCACTAATAAACAAGAAGTATACCTTGAAACGGTATACCTTACAGTATAGCTTGACACATTTCAATCAACTACAATGCTTTTCATGAAGCATAATACTGTATGTCCATGATAACAAACATACCATAGAGCAGTTCAGGATAAAACATTAGTCTCTTAATTTAATTAGATTCTTATAAGTCAATATTTCAATGTTTTTTGTATTTAGGCTTTTAGCCAATTGTTAATTGTACACTGTTTTAATAGTTTTATCGATTGAATTTTAGGTGGACAATTTTAATTTGTTATTTAAAAAATAAAATTCAATTTAAAAAATGTTTTAGGGTTTTATTTTTTTTTGTTTTAGATTTGGTACATCATAAGCATAAGGTACAGACTAAGACATTAAAACCATTTTTTAGATTTACTAACTGTGAGATAATGTGAATAAACAGTGGCTGGAAGCACACAAAGACAAACATAACCCACTTTCCCGTGTCACCCTAGTGACTCTGTTCATCCCTGACTACACCTACAGTAGATATACACATAATGCTGTCTAAAAAACTGTCTATTTCTTACATGCTTTTATGCGTGTGAAAATGAGAACTGTCCTAAATTAGGAAGTACAGTATGTGTTCGAGAGTCAACTCACACCAAAATAGAGAATTAAAAGTGCATAAATTGAAAACTACCTGGTGTGACAGTGTGGAAGCACCAGTAAAAAGTCAACGTCCCAGGTGAGGGGACAGAAGCACCTGTGTGAGGTTAGCAGGAACCAAAAATAGCAGGGACTAGATTTCTTCACAGATGTATAGAGTATTAGGAAATTGCTTTTAATAGTTTTTTTTTTTTTTTGGGGGGGGGGGTTTGGAAACAAAAAAACAAACCTCAAAATGACCAGATGTGGGTTCCAGTAGCATGGAGTGATGATAAATGAAGACTATGACTGTCCTGGCCAGAGGATTGTTGGTTCAGATCTCATATTTTGTGCTGTATCCTTGATCAAAATATTTCATTCTGATCGGTCCACTAAGTGCCCCGTTATTTAGATGTGTACTCCCATAGTATTATTAAAACCATAGCAAAAATATAAATAAGTAAAAACTGTATTTTCTGAACATCATTGTTTTTCTGAATATTTAAGCAGCACAAGTGAGATGAACTTTCCTCTATGACCAAAATTAATTAGTATATGCAAATTCTGGCACTACAATCAAGTCATTGCAGAAGGAGTATTTGCATGTACTCACTCCCTCTGCACAAAGGTGCTCATTAAAATGAACTCATTAGATGTCTAATAAGGATGAGTGCAGATACATGTATACTGTAACCAGGCTAGATTTTGTAGATACTGTACTGCACTATGCATGTTTACTGTGTATAGCTGTGCAGAAGACTAGGATAAAGGTGCAGGTGCACAGACATGTCTGAGCTTGTTATTTTTCCATCTGAAAGGCAGGCAAGGGAGTGGCCCTCTGTAGATTTCTTCAGGATCCAAAATCAGACAAAGCACAGAACTAAGAGTGCAGCTTCACTTAAGACTCTCTGACTTTACCTCAGAATCTTAAAACGTGTTCTGGGAAACCCTAACTTTTACAAACTCAAAAAGCAAAAAGAAGGTTGCACATGCTATACTTTTCAGAGCAAGCAGTGTGTTGTAACTAGCATTATACAGTAAATGTTTTACATTTTCCTTTTGGCTGGTTTTCTTGTAATAACTGCATCGCCAGGTCTCATTTTTACCAATTCAAAGTTGATTACTGCACATTTGATATACAGAATAATGCTGAAAGACCATGCTGTGAAACTAGTACAGTACTTGTAATGTAAGAAAAAAATATTACAAATTTTGATTCAAACACTACACTAAGACATGTGTTGAACCCTTGTTTTAAGGTACACTAAGTACATTAAGCAACATTTTCAGTACATACAGTACTGTATTTTCTTTTGATGGACTAGAAAAGGCGTCAAAGCATATCCTTCTGTTCTCCTTTGTACTCAATACTAAAGAAAATAAAGTTACATATTGTAGATACTACGGTATATAAATCTCCTCTTGCTGTTAATTCTAAATTATTTTCAAGGCCATTAAAAAACCAGTGGACATCTACTGCATTGCTTTAGAAATGTTAGAAATTCATATTTGGTTTGTGTGCATGTTTTGCTTGCAGGCCTTTGACACATCTTTTTTCTTCTCCCCAGCTGGTGGCCCAGGCAGTGTTGTTCATGTGTATGAACACAGCAGGAATGTTCATCAGTTACCTGTCTGACAGAGCACAGCGGCAAGCCTTTCTAGAGACCAGGAGATGTATAGAAGCCAGGCTGAGATTGGAGACAGAAAACCAGAGACAGGTATGCGAGAGCTGTGTGAGGAGTAAAGGAGTTCTTCATTTGACCTTTTGGTCAAATTTCAGCATTAGGATGTATTGTATGATAAAATGACATTGATCCTGTATTTGTGTAAAGTTCAGAAAAAGATAACTTTAGAACTCCAAAAAATATATCAAATACTATATTAGCAAACATATCACCATGCCATAAAAAATCTGTACAGCATACTGTAAGTGAATGCCTGGCAATCAAAGCATGGCAGGGAAACAGTCCTGCTGCTCTTAATATTAAAATGCATTTCATTGTTTATTTGTTGAAGTTTTTTTTAAAGCTCTGAATGATAATACTTTCAACATTTGAATATCTATTGATAATCAATTTACGATGACTTATAAAACATCTCCCGTGTCCTGTGTTCTAAGTGTTATTTCTCTGGTTTTGTGCATAATACTCCAAAAATATATTTTTTTTCATCATTTAAAATTGATAGAGGTTTGACTGTAGCAATGGAATTATTATCCGGCTTTCAGCAACTTTTGGAGGGACATGAGAAACTGCGACATTATGTACACAGAGAGCTGGACATTTCATTTGCAATTCAATCTAAAAAAATGTGTATGCTTTCACAGTTCTGATGATGAATAGTTGACTACACTCTGGAACAGATTAAACTTGTCTAGAAAAGAGAAAACTCCTGTCATGCATTCATAAAGGAATTATTGTAACATTTCACTGTGTATTAAATTATTTATACATTAATACATTATTCAAGTTTTGAAATACAATATTTAATGGATGGTCAGTTAATAGGTTATAAAGTATTTACAATGCATTATATCGTGTATAGCACATCTTGTTAACAGGTAGCAAAAAATGGGACCTTTTAGTGCAGATATCATTTGGCATCTTCATTACCTTGTCACCTGTTTTCTTTATATCTCTATACTGCGTATCTTTATATACTGTACAGTAGAACGCTAAACAAAGGCTAAGTCTGGTCAATAGTAAGATGGAAGACCTCTAATGAAACCATGTTGCTACAGCAAGAGGTGGCACATATTGCTCTAAAAAGTCAAAACCCCAGTAATGTATGGTGACTGGCTGTATGGTGACATTGTGTTGGCTGAGGTGCTGTCCTTACGATAAAGTGTTAAAGTGAGGTCCTGATTACTTGGTCATTACAGTGGCCATGGCACTTTTCATAAGTGTAGAGATGTTAACCGTGGTATCTAAATCTTACTCATGACTAAAAGAAGCTGACCTTCCTAAAGTCTCCCAGTTGGCGACAAAATGACTCATTTCTCTACCTGTTTGGCAGTGTAGTGGGGCTGCTGGTGCAGACTGGATATAGCACTGCACTACAAGATGAAGTGTAAATGCACTGGATGGAGAAGCTGTATAATTAGAGTAATTATTTATCACTAATTTTGTGAACTAATAAATAATTCAGATATCATTGCTAAGCGTTAGTATCACATTTTAATATTCTGTCTGTAAGACTTTCTTAATGTTTTTTTCCACATACACATAATCTATTAAATCTATGTAAAGTATCAATACAACATTTTTAAGCAACATCTTATATAAAGTGCTACTATTATTTTTAATAGCAATGAACTTAGCTGGATATTATCTTTTAAATGCCAAATTTGATGTGTTAGGTAATGGTGCAGAGTTTTCAGTAAAAGTGAGACATTTATTTTTTTTGTTGTTGTTTTTTTTTTCTATGAGCAAAGGAGACGGTCTATTCTTGTTTTCAGTTTGGTCTGGTGCTCTGTTCCAGGTTTCCCTTGCTGTCTGGGGTGGAATATAATGAAATTCATGATAAGGAGAGAATTATCTAAAGACAGAAAAAGTAGAAAGGCCCTTGTTTGAAGAACACAAGGGCACTCTTGTATTTCTTTCCTCTTTCACTTATCAGGCGGAGCTCTCAGGAGCTACTTACAATCTGATGTAGAGGGTATTTATTTCAAGTCAAGTGGAGACAATATTGCAATTTCATTACACTGACAGGTCATACAAGTACATTTCCAGGGTTGAAAATTAACTATTTTGATTCTGTAAATAAATTCAGTTCAGTTTCCATGTTTTTTTTTGTTGGGAGTGGGGGTTTGCTGATCATACAACTTAATCTTGTCTGTTGTTTCAGAGCAAAGAAAAAATGTGTGAACCGCCTGGGTCGGTCCATTTTCCTTCAGTATATATTTTAGATTTAAACGTAATAAGATTTTTATGAAAATCTTAATTAAGAAACTGAAACAGGTAACCTAATTAAATTTAGAACACAAGGTTGGGGGATATTTTTGGGTTATTTAATTAGTTAACTGATCCAACAATAAATATCCTTATGTGAATAAGTATTAATAAGTATGGGATGCCACCTGACATCACTTGCACCTTCTAGAGAAGCACCCTTTTCAGAACTGAGTGGTGGTATAATGGCATTTCTCAAAAAGTTGTGAGGGATTGTCATGTCCGTACAAACCACCCATTGCAGAAATGCAAACATCTGCAATTCAACCTGTACTGCAGTTAAAAAGATATGTACTTAATCCTTATAAATATATAGTGCTTTTCTGGACACTCCACTAAAAAACGATTTACAGGTAATGGGGACTCCCCTCCATCACCACCATTGTGCAGCCCCACCTAGATGATGCGACGACAGCCATAGTGCGCCAGTACACTCACCACACACCAGCTATCAGTGGGGAGGAGAACAGAGTGATTAAGCCAGTTCATAGATGGGGTTTATTAAGAGGCCATGTTTGGTAAAGGCCAGTGGGAAATTTTGCCAGAATGTCGGGGTAACACCTCTGCCCCTTTTGAGAAAAACTCTGGGATTAGTAATGACCATGGAGAGTCAGGATCTCGTTTTTCATCTCATCTGAAGGACACCGCTTGTTTACAGTATAGCGTCCCCATCACTCTACTGGGACATTAAGACCCACACAGACTACTAGTCCCACTAACACCTCTTCCAGCAGTAACCTTAGCTTTCTGAGAAGGTCTCCCATCCAGGTGCCGGTCAGGCTCATATTTGCTTAGCTTCAGTGGATTGCCAGTTGTGAGCTGCAGGACGATATAGCTGTTTACATCTAGCCAGAACGTGTGGCTGAAAATTCCAGTGACGCCTCAATAGTGAAAACTGAAAACAGATGTTACAAAACATTAAATACAGCACAAAACATAGGAATATAGAAAGTAAATCACTGATATTAACAGATATGTGTGTTTTATACTGTATACTGTACAGTACAGTATGTTATTCTTTTGTATATTCGACAAAAGTACAGTGTTACTTGTACAGTAAGTCTTAGTTGTCATCAAGTATTTTTAGGTTTATTCTGTATAATTTTACTGGATGCTGATAATGTTCTTAATTTGTTTATTGCAAAAAGTTGATGGCAGTGAACATCAAATAGCACGGGATTGCTGACGCATGAATGATGATTAGGAAAGGAATGAGAAAAAAAGCAAAGGCCGGGTTTCATTCTTTTAAATGACGCAAGATGGCCTCAAAACTGTCTCAAGGGTGCTTTCCTATTCAATCGCAATTCTCAAAGGTAGCATTGCCCACAAACACTAGCCCTTCATGTAAGAATGCGGTATGATGCCCCATGATGTTCACTGCATTCCAAAGATCTTACATTGGTAACCACTGTGTGTTCCTTTTTTTTCCAGGAACGATTGGTTCTGTCTGTTTTACCTCGATTTGTAGTGCTCGAAATGATAAATGACATGACTAATGTAGAAGATGAGCACCTGCAGCACCAGTTTCACAAAATTTACATTCACCGCTATGAGAATGTCAGGTAAGGGTCTTATTAAAACTCACCAAAAGAGAACAAACAGCACACGTTGTGATATCGTGGGATATGTTGTCCAGCTTCAGTTTAGTCTAGTGAGGTTAACAAAATTAACAAAAATGTAATTTGACGCTTTTTTTTTCTAATCTGCAAGAGATTGAATACACAGAACCCCAGGCACATAATACTGTAAATCATGTTTAGACAAGGTGGGCGGTGAATACTAAATGCATACTATTTTGATATTTATGTCATTTAAAAAATGCTTTTAAAAATGTTTGGCTGTGTATGTCAGCATAAACTGCCAAAGAACATAAGAACATTTAAAAAAAGAAGAGGCCATTTGATCCCTCTAGTACATTTGGTACTTAGTAGTTAATTGATTTCTTGAAAGAAGCCAGGGAACTTGCTTCAACAACATAGCAAGTTCCCTGGTAGCTTGTTCCATAGTCTCACACACTTGTCTAAAGAGTTGCCTTCTGTTATCAGTTTATAAAAATATACAGTATAATGATAATGATGAAATGTGTATTGACTAGTTCATCAAATTTGCCATAAGAAAAGTATCATATTTTGTGATATTTTAAGGGTTGCTGTACCAAAGTTAAAGGTACTGTAACAGTTGTAATATACATTTATGTTCTCTCAGTAATGTACAGTTGTGTACATTTCAAAAGTAAATGTGCAATTTTAAAAGTGCATATTTGATTGATAATGCATAGAGAGCAACATGAAAATTAGTAAATCTTAATTTACTGGGCTTAAAAATAACAATACGGATTGCCTACCAGATTAAAACAAACAGAAAAATTCCTTTACGGTCTTAAAGATACTGTATAACAGAATATTTCCAATAAACATTTAGAGGCTCATGATTTACAGTGGCTGCAGTCAGTTGACATGATTTGGGCCCTATCGGTGCTGCCTGAATCTGTGCAGGATGATGGAATTGCTCAGTTCAAACAGAGTCTAGTGTGTGATTCTGTTAAACAAAATCTGTTTTTTCCTTTTTGGCTCATCTGCAGTTGAGGATAAACATTAGTAAGAGTGCCTTTAAACACCTAACTGTGGAAAGTATTACTTGAGCACAGGGTTTATCTTTCTACATAAATCAGCTTCTCTTTTAAGATGACATAATATGTGCAATAGATAGTGTGATTGTAGAACATGACTAGGGGGCCCATCTCTTTTACTGTAGTGTTTTTGTATGGATGCTAAATTCCTGAGGACATAGGTTCAAAACCTGCTTAAGACACAAACTAGTGATTTAACTTTAACCACAGCGGAACACAGTGAACACAAAACAGGCCTGATCTTTGTTCGTCATACTAGTATTATACTAGTATATACTAGTATATGGGATCCCTGAGGATGCAGCTCAGGTCCAAAGCAGTGCAGTACAGAGCAGTGACCTCATTGCAAGGTGTCATGAAGGTTGTTTCATATGACTGATGTAACAACAGGCTACAGTGAAATGTCATGAAGCCCAGAGCTGTGCTTTCAAATGTTTCTCACACACTGCCTGCACCTTCTCATTTCTTGTCAATACCTGTTGTTAGATAGGTGGCTTAGTTTATCTAACTGATGAACACAGCGAAGTATTCACAGAGAGATCCAATGTTTCTGTTTTGAGATGCCTATTCCTGTTGTAGTAGAATAATATATTAATTTGATATTTCCATATTTTATTCAGCATTCTTTTTGCAGACGTGAAAGGCTTCACCAACCTGTCTACGACCTTGTCAGCACAAGAATTGGTCAGGATGTTAAATGAATTGTTTGCAAGATTTGATCGACTTGCACACGTAAGTGAAGTGTAATGAGACACATTTATCAGCTCTTGTGATGCTACTTTCGGTGTGTTTTTTGTGTTTTCCTAAGATGATAATTATTTTTTCCTAGTTTTAATGCATTCTCACATTAATGAAATGTTATCTGTTGTATGTACTGTACAGACGTTTTACATTCAACCAGCCCTTTTTACTAGGCTAAAAAGACTGATGTAAATTTGATTAAAATTAAATACTGTATTTTACAGAGATATAGGTGATTTGTGTATGTTTATCCTCCTGACCTACTGTAGACCAATGAGAATGATTGGGAGACAGGTGAATCTGCATTTGCCAAAGTTGAAGCACACTGAAATATGGAATATAATTTGGTGTTTAAAATTGTTAAAAAGAAAAACAGTGAACACATAAACGCACCAAACTGTAAGGATTAGTTTGCTCTTTTATTTGTATGTCTCTTCTTCAAACTATAAAAATGACCCTCAATGATACAAATGATTTAAGTAAAAATATTTCTTGTTGAAATATTTTTCCATCTTGATGAAGAAACATATGTCATGCCTGTTCTAGCAGGGTGATAATATTAATATCCTTGCTTGATTAACTAGAGGATCAGAACTGGAATAACTGGATTTAACATACTGTAGTTAAAAAGAGTGCACAAATTTATCTAACAGAAATGCCAATAAAGACATCAAACGCACTGTTGAATAATTAGAGTTTACAGAAATAATTATTTTTAAGTAACAGCAGAAAGTAAAACCATAGTTCTTTGCATTATAAAAGGCCATTTCCTCTAGCAAATTAATAACTTCTTTGTTTTTGTTTCGTGCTTCAGATATCCAGTAAACCATTAAAAGTTTAAAAGCAGAATGTGTAATGTATAATCTGAAAGCACAAAGCATAAACAAGTTCCCTACAGGTATTTTATAATTATGCCCATTTTTTTTAGTTTTGGTAAAGGGTTTAATTGCCCAGTCTAAAAGCAATCATGCATTATATTGTAGTTACTAATAGGAAATGCAGTGAGCCTAGTTAATTATACAGTAGGACATGGGATGAACAGTGCTAGCTCTACTGTGATAACAACAATAAGAACATAATGACTCATTTATTGATTAAAGAATGCATAACAATTTTGTCTCCCTCGCCCAAAGAGGTGATCAGCATTTCATATCTATGCCTTGTATAAGCTTCATCATTATTTTTTCTTTGGAATGTTGGAAAAATCAAAATGAGTTCTGACTGAATATTCGTCTCAGTCTGGACACATGCATCACTGCATTGTCTCCTTAACAAAGAATTCATATGAAACAGTTTGAACTAAAATTCTGTCATGAGTGGGGTGGGTTAGATTCGGTTGTGTTGTGTGTTCTTGAAGGGAACAAAAGTATCAGGAAACTGTGGGGTTATTAATACAATTACTGTAGTTTGTCGCTATCCCCCTGTTAAAATACCATTTTGGCTATTGTACCTCATTCATGGTCATGTAATTTTGGCATGTCAAAAGTGAATGAAATTTGTAACCAAGTTTCAAGCAACCTACAGAAGGACTGAGCTAACAGTAACATGAGCTGTGGAAATGGCATAGACAAAAAGTGAAAGAAAGTACAAATTCTCCACTCAACAACTTACTGTATAAAGAAGAACATCCAAATTGTTACAAATGAAATGGGGTCATCTGGCCTGTCTAGCTTGTGCCTTTTAGTGGCTAAATGATTTGAGGGCCTCATTGAGGCATCACAGTATTGGCTTCAACAGCATGGCTGGATAGCTTGTCCTGTCCTGGAAAGATAGAGAGTAGAGTCTGTAAGAAAGAGAAAAGTGGAATGATCAATGCTGGGTTTGGCACAACTGGCCATCTAACCATGGTTTAAAATGTGGAAGAGGTATTAATGTTTAGTCTCTTTAATTACCCTTCCTCACGTGTAGGCCCATGTACAAAATCACAACTGTGTTTCTGTATTTGCACTTAGTGTTGGATTAAGTGAGTAATGGCACTTTGGGATCCTTTGGAGTTGAAACATATAAATGCAAGGACTTATTAGAATTATTTATGAAATTCATGTACAGTGTATGCACTTAATATAGGCAATAAATGCTTATGTACTGTACAGTATCTCTGTTAAAGTCCACTGTTAGGGTGGATCTACAGTATATCAAAAATATCGTTGCTTAATGATTAAATGACTTATGAAACAGTACATTTAGAAAAGTCATTTTAAATAAAGGCTTTCACTAAATCTAAGGGTGTTATTCAAGTTATTCTCTTATTCAAGAGAAAGAATTGTCACAATTGTAAACCAGGGTTTTCCACAGTAACATCATGAAATAAAAAGTAGGTTATGTGAGGCCAGACCATCCTTTATATCAAATAAACCCCTAATAGGATTTCAATTAAATGTGGCAGTTGATAGCAGTGTGAACTGTGAAACTGAGTTTTAACAGAAATAACTACAGAAGGAATCCCCTGTGGAGTTGCTCCAGTAAATTTTAATCCCTTTAAAGATGTGCCTGTAGTGCTTTTTCAAGCTTTAGTCATTCTGAGATATTTTCCAGTTTTTCTCTAACAACAAGAAAAACTTTCCAACTGTGTGTTAAATGTAAACTGCCTATTTTTGATTTTATAAGTCTTGGCAATGTACCCATCTGTACAAATATCGTTTGATGAGAAAAGAAATCACAGTGCTGAAGTGTTTCTTCCCCACTACTGTACATAATTTTTGACATTCTCCTGGCCCAGAAGGTCTATATAGCAACCCTGTTTAGTAAGTGTGTTCCTATTTGCCTTTTATTTAAAATGTAGGACAGGGGCAAGAAATGCAATTCACAAATCTTACTTATTGTATTATTTCATTAGAAAGAACCAACTCAGATATATATTATTTGTTATAGTAAGTAATCCATAGTTTTAAATGTATTTTTGCAGAACCTAACCAAGTACTTAAGAAAGGACAAATGTGAACGATAAAAAATAAGAATATGGAAAATAATATCAATACTAAGTCAATGACAGTAGTACTTTGTGATTTTATTGCAGAGATCAAATGGATAAATTGAAATAAAAGAAGTGTTAAAGCTTTAGAAATTCAAGTGTTTAATAATTTCCAAAGAATAATCCTTCCTAAATGAAATCAGTCACCAAATTCTGCTTTAGATCGTACCCTTTCCTCACATTAAAGGTGCTAAGTAGAGTGAATACTATTATACTGTATGTGAAGACATCTTGTTTCCGAAATGTAAAATGTTCTTATTAAACTATTTTATTATTATAATTATTATTATTATTATTATTATTATTATTATTATTATTATTTCTGCATATTGCTGTTGTTATTAAATGAAGGCCAAATGTCTTTAATCAAAGATGAAAACACTTGGTTCACAGATACTGTGAAGTTAAGTTAAATTAGAATTACTATTACAGTTTACTTTAAAGTAAAGTGTATTTTAGAAGTTACAAAACATTTTCCATGCATGCATAACTAATCTGTTTAATTCAAATGTATAAACCATTTCTAGATGCTGTCTGTAACTCCCGAAATAAAAGGTTTGTTTGAAAGCCACAATATGCATATTTTTTGCAATATCAAAGCAACTGCAAATTATGTCAGAAGCCTGGAAAGATGATCACTGGTCTTTAATCTTTGTTGTTCAAAAGCTTGGATTACGTTTTGGTCTGTAAATGACTATTTTTTAATTAATGCTTTCAAGGTTTATACTCTACCAGCACATCTGTGAGACTGTTGCAGATCTGTTGCGATGTTAATGGTATACTTTGTTTAGGTAATACACTGGACAGTACTGCATTGCTATGAATTGGTGTTGTAAATAGGTTTTCAAGATCTGTAAGTGTATTCACCCTCATCCTTTTAAACACTAATGTCTTGCCAAACCTGCTTTTGGCTTGTTCTCAAAGCTGCCTATTCTAAGTAGCCTCCTGCTAATGCAATCACCCTTGTCTCTCAGGAACACCACTGCTTAAGAATAAAGATCCTTGGTGATTGCTATTACTGCGTTTCTGGGTTACCGGAACCTCGGCAGGACCATGCCCACTGCTGTGTGGAAATGGGACTGAGCATGATCAAAACTATCAGGTACTAATATTCTCCTTTAGCAATTGTTTCACCCTAAAATATTAAAGGAAACTGCTTGGTGCTTTTAATGACACACAGGGCTGTAATCACTGCATTAAATTAGTGTCATTAATTGTTATCAAACCAATTAGGTAGTGTAACATAAGCAGTATGTGTGGTCCATTGGGTCTCTACAATCCACTGAATGCATGACAAGAGGAGTGCAGGGTGCAAAATACTATGCTTATACTGGATTGGCATGAGTTTACCTGTCTCATCTCATCAAATGATGAGATATCATAGAAGGAAGTCACAATACACCAATATTTAATATTGGAATTTTAAAATGTGTACGAATGGTATCGACAGTTGTCTTGTTTTTATAAATGTGAAATGAGTGTTTCATGGGCTACGCTCTGAGGAATATGAAGATCATCTCAAGGCAGACCAGTTGATAAAAAATAATTGAAAACAGCAGGTAAAAATGCTTAACTATATGCAATAACATGAACACTTCAATTTTTGTATTTCATGTGCTGGAGAATAATCATGAACAATGACCAAATCCTAAGGAAGAGAGCCTGTAACCCATCACTATCCCTTCATCACTGAATGTTTCCTGTTTAAATAGGAAGCATTACATTCATTGTTTCATTGCAGGTTTTTGGATAATTTTATCTTTATTTTTCATCAAGACCATATGTACCGTTCAAACGTGGAACCCCTTTGCATACAGAGGGATGTCCTCTGGAATATGTTTTATCAACATTTCACAATTGACCTTGATTGATCTTTGATTTAGTAGGTGGACAAAATGTGTATCTCATTGCAATATACTGTAGATTGATTGAAGGCACCTTTGGCAATGTCCACCACGAGGAGATTTAAATCCCAGTTTTTAAATCTTTATAATTAAAATACCTATATTAATTTATATCTCTAAGTAACTGAGATGATTTCCATAAGACCAGATCAGTTAAATGTGACAGCTACACTTTGGAAGTTTGTTTAAATTAGATTTTAGCTTTAGTTTAATTTTAACTCAGGAATATAATGGTTGATACAAGCCTTGAGAGAGCACATTCGTGTTGCTTATACCTTATCCTCAATTCATATCACTCTTAGGAATCTGTCCACAGCATTGTGACTCTCCCACAACAACACCCCCAAAAATATACATGTACTGTATACTGGTTAGTGCAGAAAGACTAATAATGTAATAATAGTACTAGCATAACCAACATTACATACTGTACATTAGGAAGTCATTTAGTCCATCTGGCTTGTTTGATTGCTAGTATATTAGTGAACAAATATCTAAACACTTTATGTATTTAAAGGATCCCACAAAGTCAATTTCAGCAATAGTTAGGAAGCTATCTCCAGATTACCACAATCTTATCCCTAGATAAGAAGTGTCTCCTGTTTTCAGCACTAAATCTTCTCATTCCATTATCTTCAAATTGAGTCTGCGGGTCCCTTTGTTATTGCTGATCTTGAAAAAGACACGTTTTTGCTCGATCAATGACTTTCAGGATTCTGAACACAGAAACTAGTCCCCATGCGATCTTGTCCTTGCCAAGCAAAAAATTAATCTCTCCTTTCTGTGTATGACATGTCCTTAAGACCAGGAATCAATCTGGTTGCCCTGTTCTGTGCGGGCTGACCTGCGATATCTTTTTTTCTAGGTAATGCATTTTAAGAACATAAACAATATTATTGTGTATAAAACTAACAACCAGTGTAAATGTTTCATGATCTGAGAGGGAGAATACATGCTGTACTGTATCTTGTGTTCATGTTATGAGAGTAACATCATTTGAGAATAAGGTATGAGCAAGTTACAGAAAATCTGATTTCTTAAGGCTTTGGGCATATTTATATTTCTTCAAAATTAGAAACTTGAACTCCAGAATTCAAATCAAATAAACAACCACTGTTAGTGATTTTAGTACTTATGAGAAAGTTAGTCAGCAGTAGGTCATTCCTGTTAATAATCAGTTTTCCAGCAAAATGTACTCCTTAAAAACTCAATGAGAATATTTTAGAAAGACAGATGTAAAAGTGAATCTTGGGTGTGCATAAAAGGACATTAATATGTACAGCAAATTGAATATGTACAAGACTTACAAATTGATATGTACAAATACACACAGTGAAACATTCTGCTGCTATGCTGCTGTCAGGCTTTGTTTGCCCTTTCATTTCGGTTTGAGTAAGTATTTCTAGGTATACTGTACTAGAATTGTAGCTTAACATGGACAATTAAGGCAGGAGCCCCAATGGCAATACTGTATTACAGTCAACATTTAACATTACATAAATTAAGAAAGGTCTTATTTTTACCTTGATACTCTACAGTTACACCCATTTCCTGACAAAATATATTAAATGCTATAGCTTTGAGTGCAATTCTCATCTTAAATAGTGCAGTATTTTAAGACATTACTGTGTGCCTTCTGATTTATGCCATGAAATGCCTTCTCACAGCTGTGATTTGCTGTATGTTCCATCTCATGGTATTTACCCAACTTTTTTTTTTTTCCTGTAGAAATACACTGTTGACATAGATTCATCTTTAGTGACGTCCATAGAATAGCTGACAGTGCTGCACCTGCTGGTTATATAAATAAACCCTATCAGTCAGCCTGGCTCCTTAACATTTTAAGGATGACGCAGAACATCCATTTAAAAAACAAAATTCCTGCTCTCCAAGCTTAGCAGATGCAGTGATAAGAATATTGTTGGTTTTATTATCTGCTTGCCTACATGTTAAGCATTCTTAAATGGGCAACAGAACCACTTAAATGGAATAAGTCCTTCCTTGTGCTGAGCCATTTAGAAACCTGATAGCAGGTGTAATGCCACTGGCCAATTTCCTTTAGATTCTATTCCATCTGGGCGATTTATGTGTTTCTTACTTTAATTGCTTGGAAACTTTGCATTCAGATATAGTACTGTGATACAAGCCAAATGCATCTTAAAAGCTTTGTGTGACTCCTCTGAGTCCAAAGAAGAAGAAAAATTATCAAAATGATTTAGCCTAAGGCAAAGCAAACAGAAACATATACTGTATATTGTAATGGTTTGACCATCGGAGGGAATAATACACTTTTGATACTAAAATCAAAATGAATGTCAAAGGGGATTAGATCATAAAGCCACTAGAGAGTGTTTTTGAAATTCAAAAACTTTTGGGTGGCAGACCGTCACACCGGTTAGCATTGTTGCCTCACAGCACTGGGGCCCTGGGTTTGCTTCCTGGGGTGCTATCTGTGTGGAGTTTGTACTTTCTCCCTGTTCTCACATGGTTTCCTCTAGGTGCTTTGGGTATCTCCCTCAGTCCGAAGGCAGCTTGATAGGTTAAATGGGTTCTAATTTAGCCCTGGTGTGTGTGTGTGCCCAGTGATGGACTGGCGTCCCATCCAGGGTGTATCCTGCCCTGCACCAGTTGTTTGCCAGGAAGGGCTCCGGCTCCCCTACGCTATATACAGTATGTTATCCTGATATGGACAGAATGGATAAAATGGATAGAAAATGGATGACTGGTAATGATTTAAGACGTCCATTTAAAAGGTGCTGAGCTTAAAAGATATCTGGTTTCTGAAATATTCTCATTAAACTATTTATTCTCTTTCTATTATTTTCTCTCTTGTTTTCTTATTACAAGTATTCGATTTAAAAAAAAACACATAAAAGGCCAAATGTTTGTAATCAAATATGAAAAAAAAACAATTTGTTCCAAGATTCTGTGAAGTTACATTAAATTCAAATTACTATTACAGTTTACAGTTCCTTCAAAGCCTACAGTATTTTAGGATAAAATGGTTAGATTTTGGTTGGATGAAAGCTTTTATAGCAACATTCCCTTTTCGAATGGCAAAAGTGCCAGACAACCCTTTCCTTTGGAGATGACACTTTCTTAATCAAATTTATTAACACCAAAGGGAACATTAACAAATCAGTTCTGTACAGTAATATGAGAACAATTTGACATCTGTGAATGTAATTGATCATTCTAATGTAGCTGTTCCTGTTATGATATGGACACTGATTTCATTTCCTTTTAATCTATTACATTCATAATCATTCACAGCCTCTAAACTTGATTTTTGCCAAAAATGATGTTGTCACACATGTACACTACAAACACCAGTGCTGACATAGTGTGTACTGATTATTTTATGTTTTCAGTATTTTCATATATGAACTAACAATCAAGATATTTAGCAACTGCTGATTGCTTTCAACAGAACATATTAATTATAGACTAAAGAAACCAGTAATTGGAGGCTCATTATTAATGAGACAAAATCATTTTTTTTTCTCACACCTGAAGAAGGCTCCACGGTCGAAATGTTGTGTTTTCTTTTTTTTTTCTTTTTTTCGGCATGGAATAAAGCTATTACTTGTTTTTATTTTTTATAAATGTACGTTCAAGACTTCAGAGTAAGTATGGTAGGTGCTCTAGCGAAATGTCCCGTGTCCCACGTTTTAGAATAATACTAATTTGATAGACATTTCAAGCATGACAACTGTATAACCATGAATAACTTGGTGGTCTCTTCCAATTCATTCCACATCTCATTCAACTACTCAGTTACTATGCAACATGAATTACAGCAATACAGTGCCCGTTCAACTAGCCTTCTTCATCAGATGTGTTACCATGGGAACACCCCCTTTGGAAAGATTATACCCTTTAAGAATGTTATTTCTAAATATAAGAAAAAACTAACTGACTTTTTTCCCCTCTCTTTCTTTTGTTGGCACAGATATGTGAGGTCTCGCACAAAGCATGACATTGATATGAGGATTGGGATCCACTCGGGTTCCGTGCTGTGTGGAGTCCTAGGGCTTCGCAAGTGGCAGTTTGACGTTTGGTCCTGGGATGTAGACATTGCAAACAAGCTTGAGTCTGGAGGTATTCCAGGGTAAGCCACGTCAAAACTATTGAATGAAAGAGATCATTATTTTATTTTTTCAAAACGTTTGCAGTAAAATTATGAGTACATGAAAAACGATCCACTTTTTGATGTTTACTGGGTCGTTGTAACGATGTAACATTTGCCAAAAAGTCCCAGAAGAGTATTTAGATAGCAGAACACACTTCTATAGCACTGGTTTTAACTGCAGTTTTACTGCAGCCTGTTCTCCTTTGGTTCTCAAAATCTGCTCTGAAGTAGATCAGTTCTTATAGCCACAACAAGGTCTTAAGTGATGGAGAGACCTGCTTTCATTGGCAGCACAGCAGTTATGTTTTTGGGAGGTGTTTCAACCTTAACACGATACGTTTCTTTAAAGGCACTGCTTTACAAAAGGTGGTATCTACTGTATGTGTGAGGTAAACACAGAATTGTCTCATCAGACTGGAAACAAAAGATGTGTATAAAGCATTCAACATTTAAAAAAACAATAAAACAAATCATGTTTAAAAAGGCAGTGAAATCATTCTATGCATTTTAAATAAGAACTAAAGACTTGATTGGCAAGATTACACAGTTTTCCCCATACATCAAAGTTGACTTAATCAGCATATCACTTTAAAAGACAAAACCCAAGAAGAGGGTAATTCTGCACTGACATAAGGCTTTCACATGACAGTAGGTGCATCAGTCTTTGTGTATAGGATGTCACAACAAGATGTTTTTTTTTAGATCTTCTTTCCTCATTACATGAAATTAACACTTCTGAAATCATAGACATCTCCTGCCTCAGCACAATGGGAAGTTGAATTAAATAAGTTTTTTTTTTTAAATTTAAGGGCTGCACAGTGGCATAGTGGTTAATATTGCTGCCTTGCAGCACTGGGGTTCTGGGTTCAATTCCAGACCTGGGGCGCTATTTGCGTGGAGTTTGTATGTTCTCCCTGTGTTTGCATGGGTTTCCTCCCACAGTCCAGACACGTACTGTTAGGTTAATAGGCCCTGGTGGGCCTGGTGCTACCCCGATGGATGAGTATTTGTAATTAAATGTAAAGTGATTTTTGAAAAGGCTTGTGTAATTTCTGTCACTCCATAAAATCTTTTTTTCCGCCAAGCAAGTTAATCTCTGCTTTTTCTCCATCCAATAAAAGCCATGTAGAAAACAATTTTCACTTTCAGATCTGGAAAAAGCATATTAGATGTGGAAATTGGTTGACAATCATCATTTAAAAAACCACTTAAAATTTAGTTTTTCCATACAAAATCTTAAAAATAATAATACTAATCACATACATTTTCATTTATATTATTCTGCTATTATGCATGGTTTAGTGTTTGGACAATTATTGGATTTTTAAACCGTTTAAAAGACATTAAAACATTTTAAGCTTCATTTTAAAAAGTTTCACTTCTCCACCACACAGACTTTCGAGTTTTACAAGACTTTCAGCTTGACATACAATAGCAGGTTGTAAAAAGAGAAGTCTGATTTTTTAATCTATTACTCTAAGATCAAATTTCCATAACTGCCATCAAAATCTCAAGTGTTTTAAGTGGCAATCTGTATGTTTTTACCAAATTCATATTTTAGCATTCAAAAATGTGTAGTAACATGCAGTCACATCATACAATATATATGTATATTGTAGAAATTAATGCAAGGATAAAATCTCTTTCATAGCTTGTTTACTGTAAATTAAGTCATTGTTTAATTAGAGGTTTTTGATGTTTTCATTAGAACAAACTATGGGAATACCAATAACATGTTAATCCAAAGAAACAGAACAGTTCCTTTAGTAGCATCCTTTGACATACTGTACAGGGCCCAGCTATCCCTGTAGGCAAATGTAGAGCACATCACCTATCTAATTAATTTACTGAGGAGTAGACTGTTTGACCACAATTTGCCTGCAGGGAAAATTAGGAATATAGTTTCATTAGCAATTATTCATGTAATATAATATTTTATATTATGTTATTAGGTTCCGTACTGAGCAGAAAAAGAAGCAAGTTAAAAAAAATTACTTGGCCTTTAACTTAATTTCCCCTGTCGACATATTTGCCATGTAATTTTATAACTTGGCAATGGGCAGTTTTCCTGTAAAATTACCTTCAGGGAAAATAAGAGTCATATGCTATTTTTAATTAATTTAGACAGAAAAAAAAGCTTTCATCAAATATCATCAAAGTGGAAGTGGATGTTGTGCGTTTGGGATCCCAGTCTTGTTGGATCAGACACTTCTTTTTGTATTCCTGGCTGACTTCCTTAAATTTCCCTGTACACTTCTCCGTTTGTACTGTTTTCAGTCTGCACAATTTCAAAATATCTAAAGGCACTCTCAAACTTTAATTATGCTTTTGACATGTCCGACAGTGGGCAGCTTAACCCCTTCTTTAAATTCTTATTATATCTTTCTCCACCTTTCTGAATAAATACATAAAAATACATGCTTTTGGAAACATCTCAGTTACGTCAGCTACTGTCATCCTGTTCCCTGAACAAATCAAGTGTTGTTTTCTAGCAAACTGACCATGAAATCTGTTCCTTTTCATTTTATTCTTACTGTTTGTATCAACAGCTATACATCATACTTTGTAAGCAGCTCTGGAATAATATATGAAACACACTATTTTTCAGACGAAAATCTCAAACACATCTGACATAAAATCTTTGTTTAATAATGTATTATATGGGGAGATAAGAATATATACTTTATATGGATATATGCAGTATGAGAATCATATTATTTTTAAACATCTTCTCTGAATAAAATATTTATTTGTATTAGAGTTTGTACATTTAATGAAAGCAGTGTTTTTCTGTATGATATAGAACGCAAGAGCTTTTTTTATTTTATGAAAGCGTCCTAAGATCTATGTTATCTTAGATAACTAACATATCTAAGAACACAGTGGAAAAAAATAGCTAAATCAGTCATTTATTGCAATGCAATGAGTAATCCCTTTCACTTAATGGTGCTTCAGTTATTATGCTCAGAAAGCAATTTAGATATTGGTGATGGGGAAAAAAGGTAAAAGTAAATCTGGTAAGCGATCTTTTTAAATTGTGCTCTCTGTACAGCCTTTCAAACCCATTTTGTTTCTTCTGATCAAATATCCTCATGTCATTTATCTGTAACATATCAAAAACGAAATGCTGGAACAATTAAAATACGGTATAACCCCTATTTTCTCAATATCTATTAGTCATCAATATTGCTTTTTCAACCCTTCTATTAAATTCAACAGTCTTGTACTATTGATTTTGACCAAGTCAAAACTTAACCCTAAATTGTTTGGATGTCAGAATGAAAGGCTTCACCACATACTGTAGCTATAGAATTGCTGTACTTGTCAGAAAATGTTTTCCTGGCTGCAGTAGTCTTGTAGATGTACTGTCACGAAGCTTGACAATCTTCTGCTTTCTGAATTCATTCTTAATTTCTGGTGTGGAATTTTTTATACACCCTATTAACCTTTCAAACATTTTTTTTTTCAAAAACAACCAACAATCTTTCAGGTAATCAATATTAGGTTTTAATGGGTTATACACCACTTCTATGTGTACCCCTTGTATCTTCACCAGGAGTGATGATAAATCACTTTGGATTAAAGAGTCTACCAAATGAATAAATGCAATTTAAGTTGAACCTACAGTATTTAGGTAATACTTTAAAGAAACTATTTTTTTCTCACATCCTCCTTTCTAATCTTCTCTTCTTTTTTGCTTTTGCTTTTCTAAACGGAAGATTGGTAATGTTCTTAATTTCAATTCTTGAATCCTTGGCTCGTTTATCAAGATCGGTAGTCTGACAGCTTGACATTTGCTTTCCAGGAGAATCCATATTTCGAAGGCTGCTTTGGATTGTCTGAATGGTGATTATGAAGTGGAGGAAGGCCATGGAAAAGAAAGGAATGAATTTCTACGGAAGCATAATATTGAAACCTATCTCATTAAGCAGCCTGATGAGAGTCTGCTCACCTTGCCAGAAGACATAATGAAGGAGTCCATTAGCTCTGCAGATCGGAGAAACAGCAGCACTACTTTCACTGAAGGGTCATGGAGTCCTGAGCTTCCATTCGATAATATTGTGGGAAAGCAGAATGTAAGTGAACCCCTTTTCCTCTTCACTTAACCCGTTAACCATAGAGCATGGTAGAATGAAGCAAATGGAACCAGTTGTACTGAAAGGCTTAATTTTTTAGTTGAAGTTTTTCATTGGTCTCTCATAAATGTATTTATTCAGTATGTTTTTGTAATAGCAGTGTATGTTTACATGACATTGGTTCAGTTAATATTCGACTCCAGTTCGAAAAGAGGTGATTTGGGAAGTCGTTCTAATTTATCTCAATGTAGAAGAGGTGAAAGGCCAAATTAAACATTTTGTCAGAAAGCATCATTCGAATGCTTTGTAAAAAGGCACAAGTTACATATGGTTGTTTTTGCACATTTGCAATCTATGAGGATTGTTTCCTGAAATGATTTCCTAGTTTTGTGTTTGTGTGTATGTGAGGGAGGGAAACAGAAAAAGTGTGAAGCGTGAGAAACCAAGTGGCAGTAGATTCTTAAATGAATGTCAAAGTTGGACTTTGGTTTTCTAATTCAATTGAGCCAAACGCCTACCACTTCCATATGAAAGCTATTCACAGGTCTGTAGCAGCCGAGAAACAAGGAACTGTGCAATTCTGAACTTCCTGTATTTGGCCAGCCTCCAGCCCACCTGCACAAAATACAGAAGTAATTTTAAGTTGTAGTGGTTGTACTACTGTATACAGTATGTGTGCATATTATCGTCAGCATTTGATGGTATTACCACAATTGATTTCTGTTTATGAGAAATACTATTACTATTACTTTTATTACTGTTAACCTAAGGGTGGCACCCTTGCAGCACTGCAGCCCTGAGTTTTGTTCCTGGGGCTCTATCTGCGTGGAGTTTGTATTGTTGCCCCCTGTTTGCGTGGGGTTCCTCCAGGTTCTCCAGTTTTCTCCCACAGCCCACAGAACTGATAGGATAATTGACATCGTGAAAAACTGGCCCTGATGTGAGTGTGTGCTTGCAAGGGATGGGCCTCCCATACAGGGTGTCCCCTGCCTTGTGCCCACTGCATGCTGGGATAGGCCCACTGCTCCCCCACGACTCTGTATTGGATAAAGCAGTTAGAAAAAAAGGAAAGGATGGTCGTCCACCTTACCTCACACAATATTATCCCCAATATGGAAACGAATGTTTCAGAGTAGGGAAATAATATGAAATAAAACAAAACGAAAGAATATAATAATAATAATAATAATAATAATAATAATAATAATAATAAACTTTATTTTATATAACGCCTTTAAAGGTGGCTTCTCAAAGTGCTTTACAGAATGAAAGAGCTTTATCTTCAGCATTTGATGGTATTACCACAATTCATTTCATTTTTATAGGCAGATTAATGAGTACAATTTTGTTGTGTACACTCAGATATATTTCCATTGTACTCACAGATCATTTTTAACTGAATTAAAGGTACTCACGTATGGTACCTTGTAAAAATATTCAACACCCTGCAAATTTTCCACTTTTTGTTACTGTCCGAGTTTGCTGTCATGATACTTTAAAATAAGACTTTATATTTAGAATCTATTCCAAAAGCATAATAGTATTATAGCATGTAAGTCCATACAGTATACAGTATAGGTTTTTCTTTTCAAGAGACAACTCTGAATTGTACTGAGGTCGAATGGATGGCGCAAAGTATAGGAAAATCCTAAAGGAAAACCTGCTTGTCAGCCTAGGGTCTAAAACTGGGTTGACAATTCACATAACAGCAGGACAATAACCTGAAGCACAAAGCCAAAACCATGCTGAAGTGGTCAGAGAAGAAGACAGTGAATGTCCTTGAACGGCCAGGTCAAAGTCCTGATAATTTATGGCAAGACTAGAGGATTGGAGTCGATCACCTGTCCCCAGTGAACTTGTCAAAACTGGGGCAAGCTGGCGAGAAACAATGGAGAAACCTGCAACGTGACACTAAGCAAGGGTAGAAGATACCTATTCAAAATATTGAATCACAATAATTGCTGCTGAAAGTGCTGTCATGGGGGTTGAATACTTAGGCAATCAATAACTTTCACCTTGTATCTTTAATTCTCCAGAATTGCTGACATTGAATTGATCAAACGTAAAACTGTTTTTTGTGAAATAATTACAGCTTTAAATCCAAATACTGTATAATACTGTATGCATTATACAATATGTAAGGAATCAAATGAGACATTAGTGTCAGAAGTGAATTTATTTGCATGGCACTATATGTTATATAAACTGTACATACTGTATATACTATAATCATAGCCATTTTTGTAAATAAGAAGCAAGTCACATGCTTGCACATACAGTACATAAAGCTGCAATCCCTGACCTGCCATGAACTACTCAAAGCTAATTTATTTTTCAGTAGGTTACAAAAGTATTTGTATAACGTATACAGAGTATGCAGATATATAGAGAAGGTTAAACTGCACTGTATTTAGGTTAGACTGACTGAAATAGAATATGACATTTTTATATTACCAACATGGCTTGTGATTAAAAAATAAGTTTTTAAAATATGTGAATTAATATACAGTTTAATGTAAACTTGTATAGAATTCGTTTCTTTATGATTATTAATATCATTTGTTAACATTGATATTCAAGAGATGGATACCCCTATGTAAAGTGAGGAAGTCTATTTTTTATAGAATGTCAGTTTCTATGGACAGAATTTAACACAGCTCATTTGCAGTTTTACTTGGGTATCTAATAATTCTGAAGAGTGCATTCACTCAATACAATTAAAGATGTCTTTATCCCAGTTTTATGTGTTTAAGGCAGTTAATCCCAGTGTGAGTCAATGGGACTTTAAACATACAGTAGCTCAGTAGGAACTTTGTATATGTAACAACCACATCCAGGTAATGTGGCTCATTGTAAAATAATGACCTGCTGTGCCTGCTAATTTGTTGCATGTACTGTACAAATATAACTGCAAGTGTGTGTCTTTATAGAAAAAAATATATTGTTTCATTTTTTGATGAATAAGGTTTGCTCTTCTTCCAATGCTTGCCTTTGGTTTGCTTTTCCTATATAATTTAATAAGTTAACAGTTTTTAGGGTTTAATTTCCCTACATAAGCACTTAGTCATCAAGTTTCAGGATGTCCCATATATTTTTGCAAGAAACTCTGCCTTTGTAAAATGACACACCAGATTCCCATGCTTCAATTAAATTGAGAAGCACAAAGGGAGGGATGATACAATTGATATTTTAAATAATATCAATAAGTGGTGTTTTATTATGAATACTGGAAATATTGCCATGGCTTTACATGCACTCTCTATGATTTTCTATTGTTTGTTTAAAGACAGACCTGAAAATAATGGGCTTGTGTCATTTACAATATCTTTGGACAATTATTTTCATGTGCTCTGAACAGGTAACTTGTACTGTATGTGAAAAGTTGGTCCATTCTGAACTGTTGCAGTAGATTTCATTTGCAATACCCAGGCTGCAGGGAAATCTGTCTGTTTAACTGAGAGGACACTAGGAATTCTACTTGCACACTCTGAAAGCAGCACTAGGTCATGGCGATATTCCTTGATTCTGGTGTATGTTTTGGAGGAGTTTGCACATTCACCTCCTGTTCACATAGGTTTCCTAGGTGCTTCAGATTCCTTCCTCTGTCCAAAACATGTATTTCTAATCTGTACCCAATTTGCATGTGTGAGTGAATATACAGTATGTGTGTTCCCTGTCATAGTCTGGTGCTTGCCAGGTTAGGCTCAGGTTCATCATGACCCTCTAAACATAAAGATAAAACTGAAAGTGTATACAAGGAGTACAGTATATACTTTGTTTTGACAACTTAGCAACAAAGTGACAATTTATACAAGCAAAATAATCAAATATTTTCATTGTTCACACACTACATCCTACCTTCACATACAGGAAGGAATTTATTTTTTGTGTATTGATTCAGTGAGATGCTCTGCTTTAGTCTGCAGTTTATAAAAAAAAGTGAAGGTTTCTAAACCTTTATATTGAGGTATATGGAATATTAATCAGTCCTGGTTATTTATTTTGTTCTTATGCAGTGAACTCCCCAGGAACCGGGCAGCTTGGAAATACAGTATATCTTCTTACGTATAACTTGAATAATTAAATTTAGTTTTCTTAGTAGCTAAGTAGAGTTAGCACACAATGCTATAAGGACAATTAATCATAAAGATTGTAAGACCCAGCCCAACTCCTTCTGATATGTTTGGAAGTACATTGTAAGTCATTTATAATGTTCCAAACAAGACGTAATGTTTTAGTAATGAGGAGCATAAGAGTGCAAGTGGGTATTACTGAGACCCTGAATATTTATTGGATGGTGCTGCATAATAAGACCATTAACATTTCCACACATCAAAAACCTGTCATATCACTCAAGAGATAGCAAAGTTTACATTGCTATTATAATATGGCTTTTCACTGCTGCAGAGACTTGCTTTCAAATGTGAAATTAATGGACTTAATTTACATATTGTCTCTGTTTTGCAAATACTTTTGTCAGACAGCTCTTAATTTAGAATTGTGCAGTTTGTCATGGTAATTAATAATTATAAACATTCATCTGGGTGCCTGTGTCATGTCTGGCTGTTGCCCTGCATGTTACAAATGTCTTCAGGCTGAAATTGTTACCGCCATCTAAAAGCCAGCGTTTTGTGTGCAGGTGTTGATTTTCTGCACAGACTTCCCCTTACAGAAATGACCCTGGGCTGAACTCCTAGCCAGTGTGCAATATAGTACAGACCTTCCAAACACCTGGCAAGTTGAATGTTGCGGAATTTCATAAACCTTTCATGTTTTTTTTTTACATTTTAGTTTCCTGCTGCCTGTTCTTTTTCATTTCCCATTTTTCTTTGGTAGTGTAGATTATTGTACAGGTTTATTACAAAACCCTGTACTTAATGGTTCGTTGTTCATACGCTACTGCATAGCTGAATATTCTGATCCTGCGGATTATTTCGAATACAAAGGGAAAAGGGACCCTATACGGCTACAGATTCATTTCCGAAGCTTGGTTTTGGACA